GATATAAAATATATGCAGTATCATCTGAGTTAAATTTCAGTTAATTAGTTCAGGAACTAATCTTGATTATAGCTGTTTGCATAGAACATAATTTCTTATATTCTAATTTATCTAGTGCTTAGAGACAGAGTGCTGTATTGCTATTAATTCCAGGATCCAAAAGTCAAATTACAGTGTTGGATACCCATCACATCAGTGTGCTGCCTCTGGAATTGTTTTCTTTTGCTGAATTAGCAGAATTTGGTTGCTGCTGTCTTGTGGCTGTCATTCATTTTAATACAGCAATAGCTGCAGAGTTTAGATAATGTATTGATACTAAATACTTCTTAAAAGGTATATGTATATGTACATACATACACACACACATATATATATATATGTATGTTACATTGCTTTGTTTCTATGGAATTTGGATATGATTTTAGGGTGGATATGCTGCATTTTATAAGTACCCAAAAATAGGACCTACCCCAAAAATAAGCCCTAGCCCGATTTTCATGCCTGTGCCAAATATAAGCCCTAGCCCTAAAGTAAGCCCTACTTAAGAGCCTGTGCACCCGCCCGCTCACCCATTCTGTTTGCTTGCTGCCGACATGAGGTGGGGTGCCATGGCCACGAAGCGAGGTGGAAGGGTGGAGGATGAAGCTTCTTCTCCTTACTCACTACCGCAATGAAGCAGGAGGCTGAGCGATGCACCGGTGCCATGGCCACTAAGTGAGGCAGTAGGGGTGTGTGGAGGATGAAACCCCAACAGTATCCTTGGCTGCCCAGCCTGCAGAGCCCTGATACTAGTGGAGTGAGGTGGTAGCGGCTGGAGCAGCCCCTTCCCTGTCACCCCTCGCTTCCTTTGTTTCCCAAAGCATCCCTTCACTAATCTGCTTTCCAGCTCGTTCTCCGCCGCAACAAAAGAAGCCTGTAGGACTACCAGTAAAAAAAAGGTTCAATCAGTCCTTCCAACTATGCGAGATCTTTTTTTTTTCGCGAGAAGTTGGAAGGTTGGATTGATCTTTTTTTTTTTAGTCCCACAAACTTTTGTTGCTCTGCACACAGAGAACAGAGCTGGAAAGGAGGTTAGTGAAGGAATGTGGTTGTCCTGGGATGGAGGTTAGGGTAAAGGTTTGTCCTCCACCCACCCCCCACTGCCCCCCCACTGCCTCGCTTAGTGGCTGCGGCACCAGTGCATTGCTCAGCCTCCTGTTTCGTTGTGGCGGCGAGTAAGGAGAAGAAACTGGCCAGCAATCCTGCATGGGACTGCTGGAGCCGCCACCACAAGTCCAGGTAGTTGTCAGCACTTTGATGGCCTGGCTGCGGGGCCCTCTGTCAGCCCGTGCGGGGCGCGTGGGGCAGCTCCATCCCGCCTTGTTTCATCCTCCACCCCCCACTGCCTTGCTTAGTGGCCATGGAACCGATGCATTGCTTCGTCCTCCACCCCACCCACCTACCCTTGCCTCACCTCCTGCTCCATTGTGATCGCAAAAAAATAAGACCTACCCTGAAAATAAGCCCCGGTGCTTATTTTGGCGACCAAAAATATATAAGAGAAGGTCTTATTTTTGGGGAAACATAGTAAATCTGTATTATATCTGTTTCTTCTGAAATCTGAAATAATCAAAGTGTTCCAGTTAATCTGTGTCTGACTTAGCAGAGCTTCCAAGATCCAATGGTTTTGTTACAGATCCAAAACAAAACAGTTTCCTCAATTTGTGTCCACCCATATTTGTCAATATTAGTGTGATTTGGTCTGTGTATGACAGCTATGTGTTAAGTGATGGTTTTAAGCAGGAAAAATAAAATCAAATAGGATATCATTTAGCAGGAACTAAGTTCTGAGAAAATATAATATTTATATATGATAGCCTTCTGATGAGCCACAAATTTTTTGGGCAGCGATTCAGTATTATCATTTCATCCTAAGCAAAATTGTGCATATCCTTTTTGTGGTAATTTGTGAATTTGTTACTCCATTTCTCCCTGACAGATTTTGTGCATAAATCCATTTTTTAAATTAAATTTTGGGACAAATATTTTCCTCTGCAAGATTGGTGATATAACATAAATATCTCTCTAGTTGTCAGCTGATTTTGTGACATGAAATTATAATTATATTTTTTTGTTGTTAATTACCTAGAAGAAAAAAATGTTATTATTTTTATTTCATTTCCAAGATTTTTGCACTATACTATTTATGTCTTTTCAGTATTTTTGGCTTTTTGTTTTTTACATGTCCAGCACATATGATAGAATGTTTGTTCTGTTTCATGACACTTACAGCAGTTGTTGCTGTATGTTCTGCCTATCTTACCATTTTGTACCAACTTTCCTTTAATTTATAACTTGGTGTAAATTTTATAGATTTAATCCATACTTATTTCCATTATTGTATTGTAATTGTTTCTTTGACATTTTGTATCCAGTTTATTATACAAATTTGTTTGTTTTGTCTCTGTAGTATAGCTAAGTAAAAGTTTATACTGTATATACACCAGAAACTCTTAATTGGCTGTTGTTGTTGGTTTTTTTAAAACAAAAACATGCTTTGACTGAAAAGTAAATCAATATGTGAAACACAAAGGCCTGCAAAGTTTGCCAGTTTTCTTTTGATGGACTTTAATAGGGGAACTTGATTCAAGCTTTCCTTAAAGGCTTCTGATTGTTTTATTAATAGCCTCACAAGTTAATCAATCAGGTGGCAAAATTGTGGTCAGATAGGTAGAAAACTACACATATTGTTCACTCCTAAGAACTGCCTTTAATTCAGTGTCTGAATAAAGCACTTTGCCAGTTGAAAAATGCATGAATAATGAGAGTATGGGATGCTTCTCTGCAGCCTTTGCCCAAGCAGAGTGAAATAGGCAATACAGCAGCCAGAGACATGTGTTCTCCTTTGGGCTCTTCATTCTCTCAGATAATGTATACCTGCTTTTATTGCATTTTTAATAGCATTTGTGTGTGATATGAAAAAGTTGGGAAGGTGCACTTCAGTATTTTAAAAATGTAACCAAAAAGAAAGACAAATAAATGGAATACAGTGGGATGAGGAAGTGATGATATAAAATTGGTAAATCACTATTTTGTAACTGATTATGTTACAATTTTTCAAGAGTACTCTTAACATATTTTTAGAGCTCAAAATGTGCCTACCAACTGCAAAAGTCAGTGGATACCTGAGCCAGGAATTAAGATATGGTTACACATGAAAGAAGATAGATCACTGGACCCCAATTCTTTTAAGATTTAAAAATACCATGGTTACAGTATGGGAATTAGTCATGGTTAGAATTTGATTCTCTTTAAAAATATTTTATATATAACAAAGTAGTTGGGGATCGTTATTTTAAATTGATTCATCCTTCAAGCTATGAGTACTTATTACTATATTGAAGTATGAATTGTACAACAGTGCTAGTAGGAATAAATCAATTAATCCTTTCAGTGCATGTCCAAATTGCCAGTTTTCCTGGAGGAGCATCTATTTTGTGAATGCATTCCAAGCTTATTATGGAAAGGATGATTTGATTCCAGAGGTAGTTGAAGAGATAGGGATGATTGAATTTGACATGTAGCTTTGGTTCATGGATGCCTGAAAAAGAAACATAAAAAATTAAGGTTATAATACAAACTAATCTGAAATATAACAGGATTTTTTTTTAAAAAAAGTTCGGCATTGAGACAGGTTATGTTCAATTATCCGTGGCATTTTAAAGATACACAGTATTTCAACTTATTTTCTGAACTTTGACTATGCTGCTGATGGAAACAGATCAAGTTCAAACTAAAGTAATTTTTTTTCACAAACTAGTTGAGATTAACTAGTATTGGGACAACACTAAATATTCTTAACTGCTTAAACAGAGAGAAATGAAATTTATAAGCTCAGGAAGAGTTAGTCTTACTCACTCTTATAATAACTTTATATCCCAATCTTGTCTATAATGTGGTGAGTCATTGTGTGTCTTAACAGTATTAGAAGCAAAATTCAACAATGTTTCCCTAAGTGCTTATTGACATATTTTCTGAAAGAAATACTGTCATGTTTTCTTTATAGATTTTAAATACCTGTTGAATTACTTCAATCAAGATGCCGCCAGCAATTGGAGGTCCAGTAGGATACACGCCACCTGAAGGAGGATGGGGTTGGGCTGTGGTTGTTGGTGCCTTTATTTCTATTGGGTTTTCGTATGCATTCCCCAAATCCATTACAGTATTCTTTAAGGAGATTGAAATCATCTTTGACGCATCAAGCAGCAAAGTTTCTTGGATCTCTTCTATTATGTTGGCAGTTATGTATGCAGGGGGTAAGTGTGCAAACCAAATGAATGGCATTTTTACTGTGCAATTTCAATAATAATGTCATGTTTTAATTGGAGAAAAAAGTTATTAATAGATGTTTAGGTAAATTTAAATATTCCTATAGTACCCAAAGTAGGAAATCTATTTAGTTTGCAGAAATATAAATAATACCTTCTCCAGCACAGGAGATGGAGAATCCACCAATGGTTTTCTCTGTCTGCCTGCTCTTGAGACCAAGTTAGCCAAACTTGACACGCCCCCTGTTGCTAGGGGAACCTAGTCTTGACTTGGTCTCAAACTCTTGCAGACGTGTCAGGTTTGGCTCTCTGGATTCAAGAGACTCCAGGTTAGAT